TCTCTCTCTAATGTTCAGCCATATACATGTACAGACTCCATAATTGTTGGTGACGGAAATTCATTACAAATATCACATATTGGTAAATCTCACTTGTCAATATCAAATGGGTCTTTGGTCCTTAATGAAGTGTTGTGTGTCCCTGCTATCAAAAAGAATCTTTTGTCCATACGTCGTTTTACTCGTGATAATGATTGTTACTTTGAGATGGATTTTAATGGTTTTTGTGTGAAGGACAACAAGACGGGCAAGGTTCTTCTTACTGGCAGTAGCTATGGCGACCTATATTACATTCATACCAGTCATCAGATTTCAGAGAAGCTAGTTTTCTATGGTGAAAGAGCAACTCAGGATGTGTGGCATGCTCGCCTTGGTCATCCTTCATCTGCAATTCTACGTGTGTTAATTAATCAGTATCACCTGCCTATTAATGGTAGCATTGTTTTTAATAAAGTATGCCATGTTTGTCCTCTGGGAAAATCTTGTCGACTCCCATTTTTTATTTATTCATAGAAATTCTCATTCACAACAACCGTTGGAACTTCTGCATCTTGATTTATGGGGTCCTGCTCCAATATCGTCAAATTTTGGGTATATATTTTATCTGTCTATTGTGGATGATTGTACGTGTTTCGTCTGGTTGTTTCCATTAGTCAAGAAGTCGGATGTGCTTTCTACCTTCATTGTTTTTAAACGGATGGCTGAGAATCGATTTAATTGCAAAATTAAACTATTACAAACTGATGGTGGTGGAGAGTTTACTAGTCGCTTATTTCAGAATTTTCTTCGTGATCATGGAATTTCCCATCAGTTATCATGTCCTTACACTCCACAGCAAAATGGAGTAGTTGAGCGAAAGCACCGACACATAGTGGAAATGGGACTATGTTTATTGTTCCAATCAAAATTGCCTAACAGTTTTTGGGTAGAGGCTTTCTCCACTGCAGTTTTTCTCATTAATCGACTACCGACGCCACAACTTGACAACATGTCACCCTTTGAGAAATTATTCAAAAAATTGCCTGATTATCATTTTCTCAAGACCTTTGGATGTGCTTGCTTCCCTCACTTGGTGCCATATAATCGTCACAAGTTATTGCCTAAATCCATCAAGTGCGTCTTTATTGGGTATGACAATAACTCCAAAGGCTATCGATGTTTAGATATTGCCACTGGTAAAGTTTATTTGTCTCGCAATGTTACATTTGATGAATTAACATTTCCATATCCAGAGTTGTTTTCCAGGCACCAAACAGCAACAATGACATCACAGCACTCCCATGCCATATTAGACACCGTCCTACCAATTGCTGCTACACCACAATTCTCTATTCCAGATAGCCCAAAGACACCACCTCAAAGCTCCACACATGAGCCCAATTTAAGCCTCAATTCATCCAGCCCAAGTCCAAGTGCCTCTCCACAAGCCCACATGTCTCCACCAGCCACTAATTCACCTTGTAGGTCCTTTGATATATCACCACACCCACAGAGTCCAACTACATCACCCGAAGCAGCATCCAATCATGAACCAATTTCGCCTCCTTCAGTTTTCCCAAATACTTCCTCCACAATTTCGACTAGTCCTGATTATTCACCTATGCATACTAAATTCGGCAGCCTCCAGCAATTAATCTATGAAACTTCTCCCCATCCATTGCCGCACAGTCTTACTGCAAGTCTTCAGGACCCCTTGTCTTCTGAACCTGCCACCTACAAACAAGCTTCTCAATATTCTCATTGGCACACAGCCATGAAGGATGAATATGATGCCTTAATCCGCAACGATACTTGGTCTTTGGTCCCAGTCACACAAGGCATGAATATCATAGGGTGCAAGTGGGTGTACAAAGTGAAGCGAAAGGCGGATGGCACGATTGAGCGTCACAAGGCACGTCTTGTTGCTCAAGGGTACAACCAGAAAGAAGGTCTTGATTATGCCGAGACGTTTAGTCCGGTTGTAAAGCCAGCTACAATTCGTACAATTTTGGCGTTAGCTATTTCACACAATTGGCCCTTACAACAGCTTGATGTACGCAATGCATTCTTGAATGGTCTTTTGCACGAAGAGGTGTACATGAAACAACCACCAGGTTATATTGATTCCCTTCGACCTCAATATGTCTGTCGGCTTCATAAAGCACTTTATGGTCTTAAACAGGCCCCAAGAGCGTGGTTTCAGCGATTGCATTCCTTTTTGCGTACACAAGGATTTTCCCACAGCCAATCTGATGCCTCTTTGTTTATTCGTCACTCCTCTCATCACACTATCTATGTTCTTGTTTACGTTGATGATTTGATTGTCACAGGTACTGATGTTACATCCATCTCTACCTTTATTGATCACTTATGCTCTGTCTTTGATAGTCGAAAGCTAGGTGATCTGAGTTTCTTTCTTGGAATGGAGGTTCGACGCACAACCACCACTTTGTCTCTCTCCCAAAGTCGCTATGCATCTGACTTGTTGAAAAAGTTTAACATGGTTCTGTGCAAATCTTGTCCTACCCCGGTGCTCTCCTCAACTCGACTTTCTGCTATGGATGGTGATCTCATTTCTGACCCTTCTACGTACCGTAGCATGGTGGGTGGTCTCCAGTACCTAACATTGACTCGTCCCGACATTGCATATGCAGTGAATCAAGTGTGTCAGTATATGCATAATCCCCGCTCCACTCATTTACAAGCTGTTAAAAGAATCTATCGCTATATTAAAGGTACCATTGAACTTGGTATTCTTTTCCGTTCCTCCACTGATTTTTCCTTGCAAGGTTTTTCGGATGCCGATTGGGCTGGGTCCTTGGATGATAGACGTTCCACTACCAGTGCTTGTATTTTCCTTGGTTCTAATTTGCTCACTTAGACTGCTAAAAAGCAATCAACAGTGTCAAGGTCCAGCTCTAAAGCAGAGTATCGCGCCCTTGCCACAACGGTTGCCGAGCTTCGTTGGTTTTGCTATCTGTTCAGAGAGCTTGGTATTCCTCTCCGTTCTCCCCCTTGTATTTTTGTTGATAATGTTTCAGCTCTTCATATGGCAGCCAATCCGGTCTTTCATGCACGCACCCGTCACATTGAAGTTGATTATCATTTTGTTCGTGAGTTATTAGCACAGGGAGTTCTTCGTACCCGATATATTTCCTCTCACTATCAGCTTGCAGACGTTTTTACCAAAGGTCTCTCTCGCGATCGTTTTGCTATGCTCACTTCCAAGCTCAATCTCCACTTTGTTCCGTTTCGCTTGAGGGGGGATGAAGAGAATAGCACTAATGATGCATCTATTTTTTTTTTTTTTAAATTTATATATACGTAATGTCGTTTAATATATATATTTTTTAATTCCTGTTTTTGAGGAATTGATTGATTTATTTTAAAAGATGGGAGCATAATTTTGTTAAAATAAAATAAAAAGAATAAATGAAGAATGATAAAACAATGTTTTTTGGTATATAAGACAAGAACAAGTCCCTAAAGACCAAAAAAAGGAAACATATAGCAAACAATTAAAAAAACAAATCATTTTGATATAATTTTAATTGTTGTCTGATATCGATTTAATCTCAAATTATTTGGGTGTGTGACCGTTACATTGTAATGAATACATGTGTTATGAATATGGGTGGACAAAACCAGCAATGGTTTTACTGTTGTTTTTTATTTCACACGTCTTTTATGTACATTTTGAAAATCCCATTTGCCTTTGATCGATGGAGCCAGTGCTAGACACACAAAAATTTCGAAAGGGAATTCTGTTGCCGGATAGAACTGACATTTTTTGGTCATCATGCCACCTGAAAAATGTGCAGGCGACAATGAAAATAGTGAGGGAAAGGTACATTGGTGGAAAGCCAAACAAATAGCATTATGCCAGACATTGCCATTGAGCTTGGAGTTTGAACATAATAAAAGATTTACTATAGCTACTTCCACAAACATTGTCTTATAAATCCCAATATGATTTGAAGGCCAATTTCATTCTGCACACATGTTTTCAGCACTATCGCCTTACTTGACTCAAGGGTAACCTTTGATTTCCTTGAAAACACAACCAAAGAATAAGTAATAGGTGATTGAAATTCTTCCATTCGTTTCGGATTACCAAACCAGAGAGGAAAACAATACGCTTCCAAGCCAGAGCTCCCGTATACCTATTCTAAATGAAAAGCTAGGCCTCATCATCTGAACTGAAACCATCCTCCACTCGCCGTTCTGCAATTGCTGGAAACAGTCGCTGACGCATATCTGTAGCCGGCTGGCGGTTTTCTGAAGCTGCCTCTATGGGGGTCTCTTTCTTGGCAGTCTTTGCTGACTTCATTGCTGAATTTCGAACCTCCGTGCATACCTTGTTTAGAATTACCAAGAAATCTCGTACAATCACAAACAAACGAATGCCTTCCTCCTTCCCTGCATTCCCGTGGAAGTAATCCGCTGTGCTCTTCACAAGAGCAGTTATCCTCTTTTCTTCTTCCAACAGCCATGTTATGTCAGATTCTGCACGCTCCACAAAACTGGCTAGCGTACGTTGGAACTCACTGTCTTCGTCCAGATTCTTCATCTCAACATTTATAAAATTTCGCGTTTTTATTAGTGAATGGCCAAGAACTCCTACTGTTGACGTTAGGCCATCAGCATCTACAAGAGCTGCCTTCCTCACATCTTGAAGTTCATCGCTTAAACCGGAGACAACTTGAAGACCGAGGCTACAATAATGCTCTTCTGATTCCTCATTGACATCCTCAGCTAAATCCTCTGCACTCAAATTGGACATGCTCCGGCTTGCTCTGGCTGTGCGGACAGCTCTTCGGCCCTCAGAACGGATGATCTCTTGAACAACAAAGTGCAAGAGTGTGGTCTTGCCATCAGTGCCTTTTACATCAGCCAGTTTTAAGAGTGTATCAAGCCTAAATGCCTGCGCACCACCACGGTAGGTACCATCATTCATGCGGTTTCCAGTTTTCAGAACTGCTTCTAAAAGTTTTAGGAACAGCCTGCTCTTTCTGAGTTTGTTGCAAGCAACCTGACATTTAAGATGAGGAATGGTCAGATAATACAGAAATATTGAAGGTTGCTGTCTTGTTAAACATTAAAGAACATGACTGACAAATATCTAAAGAAAGCTTGCATCATATGATTGGATATGAATATGCATTCACGGGTCTAGTGTCTCACCTCTAAAGTTACAAAGGATTCTTTGGTGGTAGTGACCTCTTCTGGGAGGGAACACATGAACACCAGTGACTCTATGCGCTTAAAAGCAAATGGTATGTCAACCATGGCTTTGAGGAACCTCTCTGCAGGGCCAAGTTGAGCAATATCGCCGGTGTATAACCTAAGCTTCAGTTCTTCTTCAGCAGTCGGCGCCATCTTCAACAAGGTCTGGAGAAGCTCCAAAGGAAGTTCATTACCTGATCCAATCAATAAAGGTAAGTCAGTGATGCCTTTTAAACCTGACAATCTCAATGGTTAAAAAGTTAAGAACTATATAAGTGATAAGAAATAACACATTGGCAAGCCCATCATCCAGGACAAATGATTAAAACAGGGTATTTCTTGTTTTTACTTGATTAAAACATCGTATTTCGAGTTTTTATTCTGTGTAACATGATAGTCAAGTTTTGTACATGGTGTTGATTTATTCATCCTCTTTTTCTAAACATATTTTAGTACTTAAACCAAAATGAAGAAAAACGTAACATGGAACTTCAGATTGGCAAACAATCATGTAAAGTTTTTCACCACGAGAAATGTCTTTTAGTAGAGAGAGAGAGAGAGAGAGAGAGAGATTCACCTTCTTGGAGGGCATCAGAAACTTCTTCCGCGGTCACATTCAATGCTCGTAGAAGAATTGATAGATTTTGTGCTTTCTTTCTGTCAATAATTTGAATATACTGGATTGCAGGTTCTAAGGATGATGCTTCCTTCCTGCGATCATTTTTGGCTTTATCCGCAGCATTATAACCAAATAGAGACTCTATCTGCTCCTCATTGAATCTGTACAGAAGTTGGAAGTTAAATTGGAGTATTTAAAGTTAGTTTATTTATTGAATATTAGATTCATCATGAGAGTTACAGCCTTACTGAAATGATCCTGCACTGATCTCATGCCAGACCATTGATTGATCAGAATTGGCAACAACCTTATCCCAGAAGAATGGCTTTAACTTGGCTTTTTGAGATCCAGACTCACCATCAACATCACCATCAACACCGTTTCCTTTGCGATGTGGTCCTAAAGGTGGACGTTGGATCTTACCAGGCAATGGCTTTGGTGGAGGTGCAACTTTTGGAGGTGGTGGGGCACGAGGACGAGGAGGAGGTGGTGGTGGTGGTCCAGGAGGCGGAGGAGCTGGTCTTCCAGGGGGAGGTTTTAGGGGAGGCAATGGCCCTCCTGCTGTGCTTTCTGATGTACTTGCCTCACCCAGCGTAGGTTCATTTTCAGTTTTCATGGGCATATTGTTTACAAAATCTCCGCTAGTGCTGAACTCTTTGTTATTGGAATTTTCTAAACCAGTAGACTTCTGTGAAGAGCCTGTGGCATTACAAATATAGTGAAATGCCTTAGAATGTGAAGATAGTCATCAGTCAATAAACGAAAAATCTAAGAATTGCATACCAGCAGACAATGTGAGAAGAGGCCTGTCATCATTTTGTCCATTTCTTGGACCAACTTTTCTGCTTCTCCTTTTCTTAAGACAGCAAAAACAGAGAAGCGCAAGAATGATAAGTGTAACTACTGCAGTTCCAGCAATAGCAATTAGTTTGATCAGACTGCTATTATCCTTTGCAGGAGGCTTTTCAGTTTTTGATTCCTTTGATGGTGGACTTTTCTTTTTCGGTGAGGGATTCTTCGGTGGTTGATTTTTCTTTTTTGGTGAGGGTTCCTTTGATGGTGGATTTTTCTTTTTGGATGAGGGATCCTTTGGTGGTGGATTTGGACTAGCACGAAAAGTAGTATGGATATGTTTAGAAGGCGAAGGAGAAGGTGCTTGTTGTCTAGGCAACTTAGCTGCAGGGCCTGGAGCTAGAAGCGGAGAAGGGCTTGGAGCTAGAACCGGAGCAGTCTCTGGAGCTAGATCAGGAGCAGGCCCTGAAGCTAGATCAGGAGCAGGCCCTGGAGCTAGGTCAGGAGCAGGAGTCAGTTCCATTGGCCTATGTGAATCACCGGCCAAATATCTCCTAGGAGAATGAGGCCAACTTAAAAGGCACTCTAAGTAGTCGATGAACCAGTTCTTGGAGCTAGCCTTTTTGCCAGAAGGACGAAACAGAAGCCCTTTCTTTCTTAAGCAATCAAAAAGTGTTTGTTTCACGTGAGGAGGAAGAACTAAAATTGCATTATGTATGTTGCTTTTTGTTAAGAACATTGTTTCAGAGTCACTGGTCGCCTCCTGTGGGATATACAAGTTAAAGTTTTCGACAACATCTTTGCCATCTATCAGTTCTTTCCTGCAATGTACCCATGCCTCCTCTGCCTGCAGTCAGAATATCTTGTCAAATATTGGTGATGATACTCTTATATCAGAATGATACATGTTTGCATGTAGCTTCAGTATAAATAACACAATCTTGCTTTCAAGTGCCAGAAACTTCTACATTGATCTCCCCATGCATCAAAAAACCTATATAATTGTGTCACCTAAATAGATTCTTAGCTTTGTTGTGACAGGAACCTGCTAGTGTTACATGTTAGGCAAGATCGCAGACCGACTGACTTTAATTTCTCTTCTCATTAGCAACCAAAGGTTGGTTCTTGCTTGATTTCAAGGGAATAAACACTACTACAAATTTCCTAATAGGCTACACTGCATAGGCATCGGAAAAATTGAAAAACGATGCCATTATGGTATTAGGCATCCGACGAAAAGGAAAAAAAAACCAATCATGTGCATTGCAGAGACAAGAAAAAGCTTAGATTTAATATATATATATATATATATGTTGATACAAGTTTTAATCAATTTCTAATTAAAGGTAAAACAGTTTGGCCGATTTTCTGCATTATAGTGACCAAGAAATTTCAAGAAACTAGAATTTCCACAAGGCTATGCCTACCATCCCAATTGCAAAATGGAAAAATGGTTTCAACCTTGAAGGTTAGAACATAGCTAATAATCATGAAAGAGGAAAAAACCAGCAGAGAAAAATTAGAAGGAAATTCAAATTTATTCATACCATGTCTTCGTCTATCTCCTGCGTAAACCAACCACCTCCATTGCCTATAAATGTTTCCTTTGTCCTCCTCACCCCCTCGGAGGCCCCTATCACCAATGCACAAAGCAGAATCCCAAAAACAACCGCATAACTGCCTCTTCTCATTTCCATCCCATCCATATATTTTCCTTCTCATTTCATCGAACTTGACGCAAAATCCTGCAATTTCCCTCAAACCAAACAGAAACGTTTTGAAAGCACCAGCCTTTCTGGCTTCCAACAACAATGGCCGGGCGCCCTTCTGCTCCTTGGTCTTGGAATGACGCGCACCAGGTAATTAAAATCTTCAAATTTGGCTATAACCCAATTCAAATTTCTCAGCTTTAGGAAGAATCCACAAGTTTCCCAATGATTCTCAATCGTAAAGCCGAGATTTTTCAAGATTTGAACGTGGTGATATGACATGCAAGCAGCAAAACAAACAATGTATGCAGCAGAGAGAGGCTATTAAATTAGCGCCCAAGATTATACTTTTGTGTTTTGAACGTGGAGGAGATGTGTTAACCAATGCAACATTGTCTTCACGATCAGAAATCTAAGAAATTCACGGAAAATGGAATCAAAACAGAAAGTCATGCAGAGCTCTAATCCAATCCAACCCAGAAGGAGGATTTAGCTAATTGGATATTTTGATAATATGTTTTTCTGTTTAGATTTTTTTTCTTCGACAGGATGTTTCTTGTTTTTCGGGGGGTTTAAGAGGAGAGAGAAAGAAAATCCCGCGTAACATAGACGTGCGGAGAACAATGTGGGACAGCCATTGGTTGTCTTGGACTTATTTGGTCTTTTGCCTCTTGACCTCCTCTGTTCTTTTTTTTTTTTTGATATTTGCCTTCAACTAATTTTTGTTTTCTCATTTTCTTGTCTAATATTATTTATATTTCTAGTCCAAAATTTATTATACTATCTATACCATTAAGAGCCAACGGTGCCATTTGGGCTAGTTCTTTCCCACCTTTTTTTTTTTTTTTCTGTCCAAAAAGAAAATTCTATACTATTAAGAGCAAGCAAGAACACACGACTTCAAAATGGGTTGGGTTGAGCCTTGAAACTCAAGAAGAGTAGAAGGGATGAGGGAGGAAGAGGCTGCAATGAGAGAAATTATTGTATAGTATTGGAGTATGATCACGTGGTATAACGAGTCAATGTGTTATAATATAGGTGGACAACATAGTTAAGATTTTCCTTTCTTTTTTTTTTTTAAATATAGAATCAATAAATATCAACTTATATTACAATACATGGATGAATTATACAACGTAACCGTATTATAATACTAAACTATAGTTACTCGATGACGAATAAAAAAACAAAATTTCACACCTGCATGGTTAGCCCACACAGAAACAACAAACTAAACAATATGATGTAAATATGGTAACATAACATTCATCATAACATTGATGTGTCTCTTACAATTGCTAGTGGGATTATGTATTTATATAAGAAATAGGTGCACAAAAAAATCAAATGGGGATGTAGCTCAGATGGTAGAGCGCTCGCTTAGCATGCGAGAGGTACGGGGATCGATACCCCGCATCTCCAGATTATTTCCCTTTCTTTTTTCCACTCATTTTGTTACTGCAGATTCAATTCAATTCAAGAGAAGCTCAAAAACCTCAAAACTTGTTTTTAACAAAACTAAAATGCCCGCCACCTTCTACTCTTCTACTTCTACTACACCCACACTACCATAGTATATGATTGCTTCTGAAGTTTTTTTTTAAATTCTTTATTTTACGTTTTCCAAATTCATTTGTCATGAATGGCGGCAATAGCAATCTCAAACTCCTCAAGAAATCTCTTTGCACCACCACTGTCCATTTCAAAGAACAACCTCTCAGCCCGCCACTCACTTCCCTACAATGTGGGAAGATCTTGCAATCACTCACCAACACCAAATCTTTCCCAAAAGGCCAGAAACTCCATGCCCTCATGGTCACTTCTGGCAATCTCCTAAACAATACATATCTAAGTACGAAGCTCGCTGCTTTTTACGCAAACTGCGGCAGGATGGCCCAAGCCCAGGTGATTTTTGATGGTATTCTGTTGAAAAATTCGTTCTTGTGGAATTTCATGATTAGGGGATATGCTTGTAATGAATGCTCATTAAAGGCTCTTGTTTTGTACCGTGAAATGCTTAGTTTTGGACAAAAGGCGGACAATTTTACGTACCCTTTTGTTCTTAAGGCGTGCGGTGATCTGTTGCTTGTGGAAACTGGGAGGAGAGTTCATAGTGAGGTTGTGGTTAGCGGGTTGGAGTCAGATATTTATGTGGCTAATGCTCTTCTTGCAATGTACTCGAAATTTGGGGATATGGGATTGGCGAGGATGCTGTTTGATAGAATGCTTGAGAGAGATTTAATTTCTTGGAACACAATGATTTCTTGTTATGTGAAGAATAATAATCTGAGAAAGGCTTTAGAAGTTTTTGAGGAAATGGGAAAGGCTGGATTAAAAGCAGATGGCACAACATTGCTTGGAATCCTCTCTGCTTGTGCTGAGTTGTTGGCCTTGAAGCTGGGGAAAGAAATTCATGCATATGTGGTTCGAAAGAGTGGTGAAATACGTAATGAGTTTTTGACAAATTCTCTTATTGAGATGTATTGTAATAGCAAGTCTCTGGCTTATTCAAGGCGATTATTTGATGGGGTGAAATTGAAAGATACAGTGTCATGGAACTCTATGATTAGAGGCTATGAGCAGAATGGAGATGCTTTTGAAAGCTTAAGACTTTTCTGTCAAATGGTTATGGAAGGTGCAGAGGTTGATGAGGTAACTATTATAACCATACTGGGAGCTTGTGACCAGATCAGTGCCTTGCAATTTGGCATGTCTGTTCATTCATGCCTCGTCAAGAAAGGCTTTGGTGCAAATATCATTGTGGGAACTGCCCTTATAGACATGTATTCTAAATGTGGAAGTCTGTCTTGTTCATGTCGTGTTTTTGATGAAATTCCCAGAAAAAACTTGGTTGCTTGGAGTGCTATGATTTCAGGATATGGGGCTCATGGGAGAGGAGAAGAGGCTATCTCCTGCTATCATGAACTGGTAGCAAACAATTTTACTCCAGATGAGGGGGTTCTTACTTCGGTTTTGTCAGCATGTAGCCATGCAGGCCTAGTCAACGAGGGGAAACATATTTTCAACAGAATGACCATAGAATACAATGTGAAGCCTGGGCTTGCTCACTATTCATGTCTGGTGGATCTTCTGGGAAGAGCAGGGCATGTGGATGAAGCATATGAGCTCATTAAGACCATGGAAGTAAAACCTAGCAGTGATATATGGGCTGCACTTCTTTCTGCTTGCAGGCTACACAAAAATGTCAAGCTGGCAGAGGTTTCAGCACAAAAGGTTTTTGAAATGCATCCAAAAGGAGTGGG